TCTTCTTAATTTTGATTTCTTCCTGGACTTCCTCTGTTGGTTTCGTTGTTGTCAATGTAACCTCTGCCTCTGGTTCTTCAGTTACTTGAGGTGTGTGTTTCTTTTTCTTCGGAAGTGTTATTTGTTCCTCAGATACTTCTTCCTTTGGTTTTTCAACCTTACTTTCCTTAATCTCAATTTCATATTCCTTTGCTAATTTTTCTTCAATTACTTGAGGTGTGGGTTTAACTTCTTTTTCCTCCACAATTTGCTCTTCTACAGTAGAAGCAGCTGGCACCTCTTCAATAACACTGACCTTAAGTTCAACTTCTGCCACTTCTTCTGCTGGCTTCTTCTTTGGTTTCTTTTTGATTTTAATTTCTTCTTGAACTTCTTTAACAGATTCTAATGTTGTCAGCTTAACTTCAACTTCAGGCTCTTCTTGAACTTGTGGCGCGGGCTTCTTCTTTTTCTGTGGAAGAGTAACCTCTTCTGCAGTAACTTCTTCCTTTGGTTTTTCAACCTCACTTTCTGTTACCTTAAACTCATATTGCTTTGGCTTTTCTTCCTCAACAATTTCAGTTACAGGTTGTACTTCTTCCACTACTTCCACAACTTCTTCGATTTCCTGAACAACAGGTGCTTCTTCTACCACCGTTACCTTAAGTTCAGCTGTAGCTTCTTCTTCGGCTGGCTTCTTCTTAGGTTTCTTTTTGATCTTAACCTCTTCTTGCACTTCTTCCACCGGTTTCGTTGTTGTCAATGTAACCTCTGCTTCTGGCTCTTCTGTAACTTTAGGCGTTGGCTTTTTCTTCTTTGGTATGGTAATTTGTTCTTCAATGGTTTCTTCTTTAGTTTCTGTTTCTGTAACTTGAACCTCAAATGCCTTCGGTTGTTCTTCTACTTGCTCTTCAATTTGGACTGGAGCGCTTATTTCTGGCTGCGCTTCTTCTTCTACAGGTTTTGGTACTTCTTCTACTACATCGACCTTGAGCCCTTCCTTAGTTTCCTTAGGTTTTTTAACCTTTTTCTTAACCACAGATACCTCTTCAGTTATTTCCTCTTTCGGAGTAGTTGTAATAACTTTTACCTCTTGTAATGGCGCTTCTTCGACTGTTTCCTCTTGTTCTTGTGGGATTTCGGTTTCCTCAACTATTACCGGTTCAGGTTTTTCTGGCATAGACTCCTTAACACCAATAAAATATTCTTTGAGCCTTTCCTCGGTCACAATTTTTTCAGGAACGGCAACTATCTCTTTGACTTCCTCCACAACTGGCGTGGGTTCTTCTGGAATTTCCTCCGTGGCTTTTACTTTTAATTCAACTTCTTGTATCTCTGTTGGCTTCTTTTTAGACTTTTTGGTCTTTATCTTAGCTTCCTCCACGACTTCTGCCACTGGTTTACTTTCTTTGACAACAAACTCAGCTTCAGGCTCTTCTCTTGGCTTCTCAATGATTTCTTCTTCCTTAACTGTGAATTCAGGCTGCGAAACTTCTTCTTCAACTTGAGATTCGACAATGCCAAATTGGTATTCTTTGGCAGCTTCCTCCTTAGCAGGCACTTCTGTGATAACTGTTACCACTTCTATAGCTTGTTCCAAAATTTCTTCCTTCGGAATTTCCGTTTCAATAATCTTAATTTCATGAACGGCAGATGCTTCTTCTTTAGTCTTCGGTTTCTTTGGCTTCTCCTTTATTTCCACTTGTGTTTCAACTTCTTCCACAGGTTTTGGTTCGGTTAAAATTACGGAAGCTTCAAATTCTTCAGGAGCCTGCTTCTTTGGTTTCTTCTTGATTGAGAAGATTGCGCCATCTGGTTGGTCATCCTCTTCAATAACTGGTGCTGCTACTTCTTCCACTATTCCAACTTCATATTCTTTGGGGGTCTCTGCTACCTTTACCTTTTTAGGCTTTTTCTCTTTAACTTCAACTTCTTCAACTTCTTCTATGGGCTGTGGAATCTGAGCTTCTATTTCTGTTGTAGTAATTTCGTATGTTGGGAAATCTTTTACAATTTCCTCTAGTGGTTTAGGTATTTCAATTTCCTCTTGTATTTCTTCAACCGGTAGCTCAGGCACTTCTTCAGCCTCTGTTTCAGTTATTTTAAATTTGTAGCTCTTTGGTTTCTTCTTCTTGATGACTTCTTCAACGACAACATCTTCAACTTTTTCTATTTCTGGTATTTCCTCCTTAACTTCCTCGATGAGAGGTACCTCTTCAACTTCAGTTACTTCCTCAGGTTTCTTAGCTGGCTTCTTCTTTTTCATAGTGACCTTCACAACTGGTTCCTCAGGTATGTCAACTACTTCCTTAACTTCCACCACCGCTTCTTCAATAATTTCCTCTTCTGGCTGTTCAGGCTGAGTTGCAATTACTTCCTCCACTGCTGGAACTTCCTCTACTTTGGGTTCCGTAACCGTGTGCTCATATTCTTCCGGCTTTTGTGGTTTTGGCTTCTTCTTGCGTGTAACCACCCTTTCTTCCACCACTTCTTCTACAGTAACCTCCTTTTGATCGTAATCAATAACACGTACTTTATGCTCTTCTGGAGCTTCCTCGGGCTCAATAACAGTGGTTGTAATTTTATACTCAACTGGTGTTTCTTCTATGATTTCTTCTGTAGGAACTTCTTCAACTACTTGTACTTCAGCCACTGGTACCTCTTTAGGTTTCTTCTTTTTAATCTTGATTTCAGCAGGTTTTTCGTCAGCTGGTTGCTCTGGTACAATTACTTGTTCCTCGGTAACTGAGATTTCAAATTGTTCCTCCGGTTTCTCTTCAACAGTTTCTTCCTCCTTTTGTTGTGGTTTCTTTGCTTTAGGCTTCTTTTTCTTCTCAAGTTTTTCCTCAGATTCGATTGTAGGCACTTTTTCAACTTCCTCTTCGGTAGGTACTACCTTAACTTCCTCTTCGGTTGCTGGTACTACCTTTTCCTTTTTAACTGGTTTTAGTTTGACTTCTTCCTTTGTTTCTTCAGGTTCTTTGCTCTCTGGAATGCGGAATTTAACCTCCTCTTCAGGTACCTCTTCTTGTTCTTTAGGCACACCGGGCACGATTTGAGTTATGTTTACTTCTGGCTCAGGTTTTGGTTTGGGTTTAGGCTTATGCTTTTGTTTGGGTTCCTTCTTGCTTGGTTTCGGTTCTTCAGGAAATTCGATGGGTTCTCTTTCCTCCTTTTCATATTCTGGATGTTCAAAATCGGTTGGCTCAAATGGTTGCAATTCATAAGTGGGCTGTTCTGCAGTTTCCTCAACCACTGTAACTGTTGCCACTTCCTTCTTTTTGGTAACATCTTCTTCGACAACTTCAGCCTCTTTGGGTTTCTCAGGTGTCTTTTTCAATGTTACACTTTCAGGCAGTTCCTCAGCGATGGGCTTCTTCTTACCTTTACCTATCTTGAGTTTAACTTCTTGTGGCTTTTCTTCTGGTTTTGGTGCCTTTTCAGGTTTCTGATAAGGTGTCGGTTCTTCTGCTTCCTCCTCACTACTCACATATTTTTCATATGTCTCCAGCTGTGGCTTTTCCAGATCATCTTTAATTGGTTTCAGTTTCTTTACCTTACGTGGCTTGAACTTCAAAACCTCCTCAGCTTCCTCCATATTTCGCGAAAGTTCACCACTTTCTCGTATCGCACCGATTTCTGTTATTTTCGGTATCAATAGTTCTGGCGGATATGTAACCACCTCCATACGACTCTTTAGCTTAAATTTAGGCAATTGCACGCTCTGTTCTTCGGCTACCTTTGGCTTGCGTTTAGTTGGCTTCAACTTAATAGATTGTGGCACCTCTGCTGTCTCCACAATAACCAATTTCGTTGGTTTCTGCTCTTTGCGTACGATTTTCTGTGGCTCAATATTGGCAAATTCGGCCTTAACCTTTTCTGGCCTCTCAAACTCGAACTTCTCATATTTCTCGAGTTCGGTTTTTTCAATCTCCTGTTCCAACAGTTTTTGTATGATGAGATCATGCTCGTCGATTTTCTTCTTTACAGTTTTCTTTTTCTTTTTAGGTTTCTCCGGCTCACCCACAGTGGGCACTTCTACTTCCTCCTCCTCTGGCTGCTCCTCTTGTATCACTTCAATCGGATGGGAATCCGATACCTCGGGCACTTCTTCGATGATCCTCACCTGTAATGGACGTTCCTCTTCTTCTTCTTCAATTATCGTTGGTTCCTGCTCCACAATGCTGAATTCGTAATCCGTATGCACCACCGCTTCTTCTCCTAATATATAAAACATATTATATGAGTACAAAGACAGGAATAAACAAATATTTTTAGAAAAAACGATTTTTTTGTTTTTTTTTTATCCTTGTGGATACGCTTTTGATATATATACAGCAAAATATTACTAATGTACAGTAGTGGATATTTTCCATTCTTTAGCTAATGTATAACGAGGAAAACAAAGCTGGACGGACAAAAGAGGTACAAATGCAATACAGAAATGCGAAAAGTGGCTATTAATTTAGGGAGGAAAATAGTATTGTTTGTTTTTTATAATACTTAAATTTTCAACAATTATAACAGTATTAATAAGATAAAAGAACACATAAATAGGCTTAAAACTAATTTCTTAAAGACAAACACAATTTTTTTATAAAGATTTTGAGTTTTTTTTAGGACAAAACGAAAATAAGCGGACGACCACTATAATAAAAACGGGAAAAGAAAAAGTGCAATTGACAGTTGGTAGAAAAGTGCTATAAGTAGAGTCTGGTTTTTATTTAATTGGAAAGTGATTTATAGATAAAGAAGAAATATATTATGGGTTAAGGCATACATGAATCATGGCGCATTGCTTTAGAAAATTATAATTTTAAAATTTTCTGCCAAATTTCTAGTATTTTGGGTATTTTATTTTTTATTAAATGGAATGTAATTTTAATTCAGGTTTTTTTTACTTTCTCAATTTTTTTTATTTTGAATTTTTAAATATTATGTTTTAAAATATTTTTTTTTAGCTGAAAGTTAATTTTTTTCTTTAAAATTTTTTCACAGTAGGAG